TGTCACGTGACATTGCGAGTTTGACACCCCTGATCTAAACAAAGGGAACAGACCACCAAACTCTTGGAAATTCAAACCAAATTCAACCAATCAGGAGCAGGGTTTTCCCCCTTTCTCGGGTGAGCTGTTAAAAGCCCTTTGCTGCTAACAATAATCTGAATTTCCTTCTTTCTTTCCCCATTGTCCTTTTGATGGTAAAACGGGTTCCTCAAATATTGTAAATAATTTGCATTCTTTTCTGAAATCAGTAATCTCATTCTAACCGGAAATTTAGCTTATAGCACATCCTGGCCCTTTTGTTAGTTCTGAAAGAGCAGGAATGCTCGTCTTCTTTGGAATAAAGGAAGACAGAGATTTATTTTATTTTATTTTATTTTACTAACAGGGATGGTGGCAATGACAAACCTCTTCACCCCACAAGACTATGGGAGGTTTTCGCAGTAGGAGCTAACCTACCACATCTCAGACTGTGAGTGTGCATGTACTCCGTTATACAATGCCAAGAATCTTTTTAACCAATGTTGCTGGCCAGTGCATACTTGTTTTTTAATCTTGGAGGACTGCCTAACATCACCCAGCTCTTCTTCTCTGGAGCTTCATGGAGGAATGGACTGAAAGACAGGCAACCATGTTCTAAAATCTTATCTGCAAGGTTCTGTGACCTCATTCTTTAATTTTAAATTCATCCACAAAGACACTGATAACAGGCTTCACAGCTGTAGCTGATTCGTTTATTAAGATGGTAGATTCTTGAAAGTGGTTCGTATATAATTTTCAAGGATACAGATTCTTGTGCCAAATTCTCCTGTAAAAGTCTTAATTATGAACATTCTTCTCAGGTGAAAATTTAAGATCAACTTTGAAGGAGGAAGAGGCACACTTAAAAACCAAATCAGTAAAGTAAATGCTGTTTCTTTAAAGTCCATTTATAGTGCTTTTTACAATTTTACATACTTTCTACATTTTTGTAAACTTTAATCCATGATGATGAAAGCAAGAGAAACAGACTATCTTTGGAAATAAAATTACTTATCGCGTAATATTTTTCAAAAGAATCAGATTGGTACCTTTTTCAAAAGGAAATTCTCGAAGTCCCGGCCTCTTCTTATATGCTAAACTAATAATTGTCTTTCATTCTCCCAATCCACTCATCCAAACAGAAGGCTTAAACTTTCTATCCATTTCCAAAACATTAGCTTATGTTGGTTTCTGGACTCCTTGTATACACCAACACATTGCACAAACATCATTTGAGAGAAAAATCTCTTATTCATATCTCTTGCCTCAGAATAGGTAGATCAGTAAGAAGATGCTGACTACGGCTGGTGATCTTCTAAACAGAAGCAAATTATAAATTATAAATATATACTGGTTCTCAATTTATTGCTGAGACTTCCTCAATAGATTTCAGTTACGGAATATGAGTCAGTGCCCAAGTGCCTGAATTTCGATCATGTGACCATGGAGATGCTGCAACAGTCGTTAATTCTGAAAAACGGTCATAAGTCATTATTTTCTGTGTCATTGTAACTTTGAATGGTCATTGAGTGAACTATTGTAAGTCGAGGACTACCTGTAATAAAGTCAAAATGCTAATGTTTCTCTCTCCTAGTTTTAAATACTGGAAAAAACAAAGAGATCATTGTCGATTTCAGAAAAGGCAGGCATAACCACACTTCTCTGTGCATTAATGATTCACCTGTGGAGATGGTTGCCAGCATCAAATTCCTGGGTGTGCAGCTAACGAGTGGGCTGGCTTGGTCACTCAACAGCGAGACACTGGTGAAGCAGGCACAGCAACGCCTGCATTTTCTGTGTTGCATGAGAAAAGCACATCTTCCTTCCCCTATCCTTACAGAGGAACGATCAAGAGCATCCTGTCATACAGCATCAGTCTGGTTTAGAAGCATCACTGCTTCAGACATGAAAGCGGTGCAGAGAGTGGTAAGGATGGCTGAAAATATTATTGGCAGTTCCCTCCCTTCCATCCAGGACATAGCACATAAGTATTGCTTGAGCAGGGTCTGCAAGATTGTCTGGGACGTTACACATCCTCTTCAGGACCTGTTTTCCTTGTTATCTTCTGGGAGCAGGCTCCGTGGTATCTGAAGCAGAACATCCAGATTCAGCCACAGTTTTGTTCCATACAGCATCGCCCTTGTGAACTCTCAAGCTTCCTCCTTTCGTTATGTATTCAAGATGGACAGTGATTAATATTTATATGTTACTGAAATGTAAGGGTGTAGGTCTGTACATATGTTGTATATAGAATGTTTAAATGTGTGTTATGTATGTGTAAACTTTGAGAGCAAGTAACTAAATTTCATTTTTAATGTGTGCCATTGTGCCCACATTAAAAAATGACAATAAAGGCTATCTATCTATCTATCTATCTATCTATCTATCTATCTATCTATCTATCTATCTATCTATCTATCTATCTATCTATCCCACTCATAACAGAGCTCCTGCCCTCTGGAATGACCTACCCCCCCGACCTACGTACAGTTGCGGACCTGCGCCTTTTTCGCCGAGCCCTGAAGGCCCATCTATTCCGTGCGGCCGGCCTGGCGTAGTTTGATTATGTTTTAGTGGGGGTTTTTGTATGGGGTGTTTTTAGAACAGGCCCGTTATTTAATTTGATTTTAGAACAGAAACTATTTATTTATTATTGTGGTTTTTAGTATCGCCTGTTCACTGCCCTGAGTCCCGTAAGGGAGATAGGGCAGTATATAAATTTAATAAATAAATAAATAAATAAATAAATAAATAAATAAATAGCCTGTTAGTTTGCCAGCTAAATATGGGAAAGGGAAAATTATTATTATTCCAATTTGTATCCCGCCCTTCTCCCGAAGGACTCAGGGCGGCTCACAACATTATTAAAACAAAGAAAGACCCACACACCCCACCGAATAAAACCAAATTAAAACCAAAATTTTTGTGTTGTGATAATTAAAATTTCTAAAAAACCCAGTTTAAAAATCCTCCCTAGGCCAGGCCCGCTTGTTGGAAA